ACACACAGTAGCCTTTTTGAAGTGTGAGAATTTGGTAAGGGTTGTCGAGACCCTCCAAAATAATTACTGATTCTACTAAATCTAACTTGTAGAAGTAGTGAGACCAGGTCGAATCCCAAGGGAACCAGTGAAATTAATTTCTCAAAGTTAAAATGGGGAGTTTTGTATTTAAATTTTGAAATTTAAAAAGATAAACTAAAAGGAAAACGAAAGTTAATCTTACCAAGCTTCCAATCCAAATGTGTGATTTTCATCCAATTGTAATCTTGATCATACGCTTTATAAAAACAAAATCGATTTTTTGATTCAAGAACTTAGTCTACTTACTCGGAACAGCCGTGGTAAGTTTTCCTAATTTAATTAATTTAGATCAATCATCAAAATTAAATCTTATTAATTAATCAACTGGGCACGATAACGTTCCATATTAATCAAAGAATAGCATTAAGGATGATGAGAATGACTAAACCAAAATCAATTAATTTGAGATAGCTGCAAATTAATTAATTTTGTCCCTTTGTTTCCTTAGAGTCTATTATGCCAGCTATGTAAACATGGAAAAGTCATAAATACACACACATAAGTCAACCCCTTGGTACTTATTTCAATCATTCATGACAATTACGGATCACAAACTCATGGATAGCAGTAGAACAATTAATATGAATTAAGACGTCAATTTAATTAATACAAAATGTTCATAAATAATAAAAACAAGAAAGAAAGAATACTTGAAAAAAGAAGAAATCTCTATCTAACTTGAGCCTCCCAAACTTACAATCGGACTTGAATCACCATTGAGTTGGAAGAATCAAAGCTTAGCCACTCATGGTAGAGGAGAGAACTTGAATTTGGGAGAAGAGAGTTTTCTTTGGAACTTAGATGCTCAATCTCCCAATAAGATATCTCTATTTATAGAGATTAATTTTATCCTCTCTAATAAGGAATTCCTAACTAATCGGGAAGATCATATTTAAAAGAAAACAAATTAAATAAAAGAGTTCCTAACCAATTTAGGACAATGTTTCCTATTTTGATTATATTTCTTTATTTACAAAATATCATAAAAATTCATAATTGCAACGGTACCCCTCGTACCCCACGTATCTCCACAATGGTATGATATTGTCCGCTTTGGGCATAGCCCTCACGGCTTTGCTTTTGGTTCCACCCAAAAGGCCTCATACCAATGGAGATAATTGTCCTCTCTTATATACCTATGATCATTCCCTACCCTAGCCAATGTGGGACTTTATTTGCAATCACCTTACAAACCCAACAATATTCCAATCATCAATTCTTTCCATGAAATGAAGATTATGCATGCTGGAAGTTTGCTGTCAAATAGAGTTCTATTTTCTTGATGAAGTAAATCCATCGGGTTGCTTTTTGACTAATGTTTTGGGCTGAGTATTTTTGTGAGGCTCAGCATCAATAGTTTCTCTAATAGATTATACATTAGAGATTGTACACTACATACATAAATACAAATCAAGTTCATTAATTCAAGTTTAATTCCTCGTGAACAGTAAGCAAGTGATTGGTAAAACATCAAAACCAAGCATGAGGTGATGAGGAAAAACCCCTATTTCTACTGTAGGAATAAGCCAAAAAAGAACAAAAAAGAAAAAAAGAAAAAAAAAAGACTGAGAAATTAAAAGGAAGCATATCAAAAAAGAAAACATGATAATTTACGTGAGAAACTCCAAACTGGAGAAAAACCATGGCCCACAAAAGAAAAATCTACTATGTGAAAAATAACTAGTTAACTAAAACTCGTATACCAAGCTTAAAGTGTATTAATTTGGATGACTAGAACCTAAAGGCATAAATCTCTTTGATAGCACATGGAGCATACCCCCTTCTTGTACCTTTTAGATTTTGGATAATTTGCTCTTCTAATATTTGGCAAAATACTGAAGAATTTACAGCTTCTACTGTACTCATTGTCTTCACTGACAATCATAATTCTCAGTTAAGAGAACTTATAACCTACTCCACCATAAAAGTAGATTATTTCCAAGATTTTGCTTCCTTGTCACATGTCAATAAACCACGTTGAAATTTATGGTGCAACTTCCACCTATTCGGCTCACTTTGAAATTCCTCAGACATTGAAATAACTTCCACCATACACACATCTTACATAATTTCCAAGCCAATGCCCATATGTAAATCGGTGGAGCCGCTAACATCACATCCTCTATCATGGTAAAACATTCGTAACATGATGATGAATTATCTCTCTCTTCAGAAGAGTTGATTATCATGGAAAGGCGGGCCCAATCTTCACGCCTCATAGAGGACTTCGTCGAGGAGACCCTTTATGCCCTTATCTTTTTCTTTTATGTGCAGAGGTCTGTCTGCTCTTCTCAACTTGGAAGAACAGAACCACCTCTTCATAGGTTTTCGTATTAACAAATACTGCCCTACTATTACTCACTTAGTTTATGCAGATGATAGCATGATCTTCTTTAAAGCTGCTCCACGATATTGTCAAGCTTGAAGAGAATTCTTAGAGCTTATGAGAAGGCCTATGGTCAAACTATTAATTTTGATAAATCCATGTTCATGACAAGCAAGAACACCAGACAGGAAATAATCGAGTATATTCAAAGGGAATTTTGTGTCCCTTTTGCTCATTAACTTGGTCGTTATCTCGAGCTTCCCTCCCAGGTGTCAAGAAACAAATGCCACCTCTTTGGATCAATTAAGGATAGAGTTTGGAAAGCTTTGCAAGGTTGGAAGGAGAAGCCTTTTTCAACTGGGGGAAAGGAAGTTCTTATCAAGGCAATTTCCCAAGCCATCTCCAACTACACAATGAGCTGCTTCAAGCTTCCTCAGAGGCTCTGTAATGAGATCAACGAGATCTATGCAAAGTTTTGGTGAGTTCAAATGCTGAGACGAGGAAGATTCATTGGCACAGTTGGCAAAGGCTTTGTTGAGGGGGGAATGAGTTTCAAAGACCTTAGAATGTTTAATCAAGACATGTTGGCCAAACAAAGCTGGAGGATTCTGAAAAACCCGTCTAGCCTCCATGCTAGACAATTTTATAAAGGCAAAGTTGGGTAACCACCCTTCTTATGCTTTGTGCAACATTACTTGGGGTCATGACCTCTTTCATAAGAGTTACAGGTGGAAGATTGGGAATGAGTTCTCTATTTCGATTAGTTCGGACCCTTGCCTCCCTAGCTAGGGACTCCAACTACAAACCTCTTTTATGGGGCTCTTTTGTGCGTGAGCACAACGTTGCTTCCATCATGAGTTCGAGAGGGGTGTGACATGAGGAGTTAATTAGAGCCAACTTCATTGAGTCAGAGACTAGTCTTATTTTGCAGATTCTTTGCCTGCAAGAGATAGGGATGATGAGATATATGGGGCCCCAACACAAAAGGACAGTTTTCGGTCAAGAGTGCCTATCATATGGGCATGGATCATATTAACAGATCAGAAATTTCTTCGTCAAATAATGATCTTACAAAGAGATGGAAGTACTTTTGGAAGGCCAAAGTCCCTCCAAAGATTAAAATTTGTTGTTGGAAAATCATGAATGATATCCTTCCTAATTAATCTAATTTATCCTTGAAAGGGATTAAAACTGATTTTTATTGTGCTTTGTGCAGGAAAAAAGTGGAGTCGTCGACGCATCTGTTTTGGCAATGTTAGGTAACAAAGTCTTTATGACCCTATTTCCTTCATTCTAACTCGTGTTCATTTATTTTGATAGGAAAGGATGGACAATCAAAGATCTGATAATACAATGAACCAAGAGCTAGATAAAATAATGATCATCATGTGGAAGATTGAGAGGCATAGAAATAGAGTGACTTTGAGTGGGGACTTTCTTAGCAAACATAGACTAATTGCACAAATTGAAAGGCAATTTCAAGACATGGATGACATTTTCCCTCATAAGCGGTTAGAGAACAATCCAAGTTCAAGTTCAAGAGGGCAAAGACTCCAGATTTTATTCAATGGACACTTCCACCTCCCAATTCATTAAAGCTAAACATCGACGCTTTGTGAATTGATATCACTCAAGAGGGCGGTGTGGGGTGAGTATTTTGCAACAGAGAAGGTATTACAAATCTAGTCCGTGAGAAGCAAAGCATTAAAATTTTGGAGGCTATGGCTATCAAGGAAGGTCTTCATCAGCACTGATTCACTGGAAGTAGAACGTTTGCTCAATATAGTCGAAACGGACTATTCAGAAATCATCTGGATTGTGGAGGAAATTCGTGAAGCCACAAATACTTTGGCACATGCCCTAGCTCGAAATCTAGAGGAGGCTTAGCCATTTAGCAGGGTGGGACTTTTCTTTAATTGTGTGATGTTTTGTTATGTTTCCATTTTCAAAAATTAAAAAATTAAAAAAATATTTACATAGTTTTGTTTTGATAATTGATACATGTATAAAAACAACTCCAATTAAATTAGCTGTTTGCTTCATATATCACTACCACTACCACTTGTGTATAATAAATTTCTAGTTTTCAAAATTTCTACCATTATTTCATCATATATACACACATCAATTTCATAATAACTAAAGACTAGATCTATTAGAAATTATCAATAAAACATAATTACAAAACATTTAACTTTAATATCTAATTCAAATTATTTCCATCGATCTTCATTATCTTGTTTCGACATTTTCATCGAAGTTGACATTCCCTCAAGTTACTCATATTTTAACCTATGGTTGTAAAAATAATCAATTATAGCTTAATTAAGCTACAATTAAAGTTTTATTTACTAATTCAAAAACCATCAATTTTCACAATTTTCGTGATTTGTCGACATTGACATTTCTACAAAATTGGAACACCTCGACATTTCAAACCTTGTAGATGACTTTTTTTAAAACATAAAATACAGGATGAAAGTTTTTTTTTAAGTAGGAGTAGGATGGGGAGATTCGAACTCGTGACTTTTTAGTGAGAGATAGGTGTCAATTACCGTTGAGCTAAGTTCATATTGGCTACACGAGATGATAATTGATGAAACTAAAAGTTGAAAAGTGGTTTGTGAAATTGTCCTTAAATATACACATTTAAAGCACAAAGAAACTAAAAAGCATCTGAAAACAACAGAATATTTATTCATTTGAAGGGCGATGTTATAGGGAAGCGCTTAGATTAAGATTAGAGCACCTCTATAACAGCTCGACCAATGATGTTCCCTTCGTTGAGATCTTGAAATGCTTTGTTTGCATCTTCAAAGTTGTATGTTCGAGAAACCGCATCACTAAGATTGAAAATTCCTGATTCTGCCAACTTCACCAACTTGGGCAGATCCTGCCTTGCCCTTCCTCCATAAGACCCTATCACTTTTAGCTGCATTGCAATTTTAACTAACTCAGCCACCTTATTTTGTGCA